GTTTGAATCTAGGGAGAGCAGGTTGAGCTCCCTCTGTCAGCTACAACTCCTCATGAAGGGACATGAGAGAAGCCTCCCACAAGGGTGGCAAAACATCAAAACATCTGGGTGTCCCCTGGGCAATGTCCTTGAAGTCGACCAATTCTCTCACACCAGAAGCAACTTTCAGTTTCTCAAGTAGCTCCTGACATATAAAAAAAACCAAAAAACAAAAACAAAGCAGGGTTTCCTTTGGACAAAAAATACTCAAAGATAGTTTCCCATTGTCTTCATTTGAATATAGCCTACCGCATCTGATATTTCGTGATGATCTTCCTACCAAGACCTGACCCTGCCTAGCTTCAAAGATCAGACAGGATCTGGTTTCTTCAGGGTTTTTAGGCAATGTCAGGGCCATGTAGGAAGGTGAAAAACTTGATGTGATTGCATTTCTCCAAATCTCACCTGCATTCTCATATCAACTTCCATTCAAATCAGGCCGCAATAATTCCTTTTTCCTTCCTGCATATAAATAGAATTGTTTTTAACATTCATTATAAAACATTTTAGTCAATTTGTACTTTAAATTATTGTGCGCTTGCGTCCCATGGCTGGATGAGATAGGGCATAAATTCAGTTAGTCAATCAACCCTTTCTGCATATTTTTCTTAACACATGCAGTTTTGAAAACATTCTCCCCATTGATCAAATTATGTTTGCACTTATTTATCAATTGTGTGCATTTTTATCTGTTTGCATTTTAAAGACGCCTACGTGGTTGAGTTTATTTGGGGGAGGGGGGTGTACTTATTTTAATTCTATGAAATGCATCACATTGCAGAGAATTTCCAATGCAAAGTAGCAAATACCCTAAAGGCAACAGATTCTACCTGATCTTAGAAGTTAGGCAGGCTTAGCCCTGGTTAGCATTTGTATGGGAGAATGCAAAATGTTGTAGACTATGTATTAAAGGAAAGACCTGGAAAGTCATCTCTGAGAATTCCTTGTCTAAGAAAACCTAATGAAATTCGTAGGGTCACCAAAGTTCGACAGGCAACTTGAAGGCACATACACACATACAAATCTTGGAGAGTTTGAAATAGGTAATTTAGTGAGTAATTTCAATTTCAGTCATAATTATGTTTATTTATTTATTTATATGGACAATATTTATATTCTACCCTTCTCACCCCGAAGGGGACTCAGGGTGGACAGAACACATATATGACAAACATTCAATGCTGTCATACACTGACAATACAGATAACTGTACATAGATAGAGGTATATATAGGCTTTCCCATCTTCAGTATCTTGGAGGCTGTGCTCAGTTCCAACCTGGGGTGTGGGGTGTGTGCTGTCGCTCCACTTTCCACTTTCCAAGAGCTTTGTTTGTAAACTTCCTCCTTGATCAAATGGCCAGCATTTTTCAGGCATTTCCTTATGGGTGCGTTAAATACTTCCCCACTAAAGCAGTACCTATTTAATTTATCTATTTGCATTGCTGTTTTCGAAAGTGCTAAGTAATAATAAATAATAATAAACTTTTATTTATATCCCACCACATTCTCCCAGAGGGACTCAGAGCGGCTCACAAAACACTCAAGGGGTGACATGCAAAATACAACAAGTGCAAAACAAAACATACAAGTTGACAATAAACAATCAACACAATGTCATAAATTAATAGTAGTAACTGGTAAAATTTATTTATTTACTATTTTTCTACCCCACCTTTCTCAAACCGAAGGTGACTCAAGGGGCTTATAATAAAAATTTACAATAAAATACAGCAGTTGCTGCAGATAAAACAGCAGTATTTAATGTCAGAAGTATAAAGTGTGAACAAAGAATCTAAATGTCCTCATATATATTATTAGAGAATCTAAACATGCAGTAGCTGGACTAAAGGCCAGGAGCTCACCCTGACCAGACTTCAAATAGTCAACCTTTCAGTTGGGAAGATTTACTGTAACTGGCAGTTAACTGCTGTGATAAAGCCCGGCCCATCCCAAATCTGAGAGGATATCACTGAAACTAGAGCTCTCCTGACCATCCAGAAAAATATTGTGTCTTGGAGTAATCAGCTCAAATGTCCTCTTTTTCCAAAGAGAAGTTGTTGCGATCCCCATGAGCACATCAGACGAATCTTGGCAGCAGAAAGCTGTGCGTGAGTGTGAATGTTTGCCAGACAGCCAGGGCATTATATTCATGTGAGCAAGTGACTTCTGCTTCTTTTTCTCCAGCTGTAGATTTTTGTGGAGAATTCTGGATGTCTACATTAAATCCTAGCTTGATCAAACACCATACTAGTCTTGCAAACTTCCAGCCAGAAAAGAAAGTCATATGTATAACTCTTGCAGATATTACGGGATTCTCATCTAGTTGCAGCAAAGGTTTTAAACAGGTCAATTCTGAATAGCAGATTTAGAACAGATGATAATGGCAAATGAAAAACCTGTATGTGCTCTACTTTTAAACTGGACTTTTATATAAGCTTGCCACCATTCACATGCATAACTTTAATGACTCCAAAGCAGCATATCCTGCACTTTAATACACTTCAAAGCCCATTCTTCAATATTTGGTAGTAATGATAAAAAGTATATGATATATGACCCTATTCCATATAGGTTATAAATGTATGGAGGCTTGATTAATTTGTGAATCCCACTGGGTCAGACTAATTCCAGATTTGTTGTACCAGGTGTGGATTGCTGCCCAGTTTCCCCTTCATCATTACTTTAAATGATGAGGACCATGTATCTTGTCTGTTATTCTCTTGGCAGCCAGCCTAGTTGAGCTGTGTTGAGGGAAGGAATTAAACCAATTCCAGTATTTTGAGGAGTCTTGCACCAATGAGACAATACAGGATAATGTCTACCACAAGAAATCCTAGTATCCAAATATTCTCTTCATTGTCCAGCCATTATGCCATACATGTCTCATCCAACTCTTAATTAAAACAAAGACTTTAAGGTTTTTAGGTCTAGCAGTCGGGTGAAACAAAGTGTTAACGTCTCATCTCATCCAACTGATTTACAATAAAAAACAGAATGAACATAAACCATATCAGACTCTGTAGCTAAGTCATAGCACAAAACAATAAAATATAAATGTATTTCTTCCACAAAACGTATTAAAACCATTTTTTGACTGTCAACCTCTGCATTATGTCATAGTCAAAGATGTTAGGAGCTTTGCTTTCAGATCTGAAGTGTATTTTAAGGAGGTGGGCTTCTAGTGCAGATGTTGTTTTATCTTCAGGCATCCTTGTAGGTCATCTGCAAATAGAGATCCCGTTTTTCAATGGCTGTCTTCCAAACTTGTATTCTATATTTCATCTTCAAGGACACACTGACCTCACTATTGTGGGCTTGCATAGCTGCAAAACTCCATTATGGATTCTGTGAACTAGTGTCTTCTTGAACTAGAGTCTTTCTTCACTGCAAATGGTTCATGATTCAATTTCAGACAGCTATTCCTTGCTACTGGCACTCTAGAATATGTAAAGAATGCAGTCATCTATGTCATCTAGATAGGCCTTCCATAGGCAATTTACTGAACACAATGCAAATAGAAGACTGGATTAAGAAGCCCTTTAGTCTGATTAACCATTGCTTTTCACGTGCTTTTGTTATTATTGGTTGTYCTGGTGTGTTTCTAAGTTATTTGTTTACATTCTTTAAAGTTTGGGGGGGGGGGGCTCATAAGACAAGTCTCTCTCCAAGGCTTATTCTTACTACTACCCACTACTTTCCTTGTTGTTTATTCATTCAGTCACTTCCAACTCTTTGTGATYTCATGGACCAGCCCGTGCCAGAGCTCCCTGTTGGCCGTGGCCACCCAAAGCTCCTTCAWGGTCAAACCAGTCACTTCAAGGATAGCATCCATCCATTTTGCCCTTGGTYGCCCCCTCTTCCTTTTTCCTTTTATTTCCTCCAGCATCATTGTCTTCTCTAAGCTTTCCTGTCTTTTCCTTCATCTTTGCCTCTAATATCCTTCCCTCCAGTAAGCAGTTGGGCTTTATTTCCTGGAGTATGGACTGGTTTGATCTTCTCATGGTCCAAGGCACTCTCAGAATTTTCCTCCAACACCACAGTTCAAAAGCGTCTATCTTCCTTCACTCAGCCTTCCTTATGGTCTAGCTCTCACATCCATGGGTCACTGTAGAGAATACTATACGGACCTCTGTTGCCAGTGTGATGTCTCTACTCTTTACTATTTTATCGAGATTGGCCATTGCTCTCCTTCCAAGAAGTAAACGTCTTTTGATTTCCTGGTTGCTGTCTGCATCTGCAGTAATCTTTGTGCCTAAAAATACAAAGTCTGTCACTGCCTCCACATTTTCTCCATCTATTTGCCAGTTTTCAATCAGTCTGGTTGCCATAATCTTGGTTTATGAAATGTTTAACTGCAACCCAGCATTTGCACTTTCTTCTATGAATTTTCATAGAAATTTACTTTCATCTATGAAATTACCCTGTTTGCATGCATGCTATCTAAATTTTGTTATGGGATTGGTTTCCTCCCTGAAGATGACCCATTGGAATACCTTTCCGCTTGTATCCCTTAATTCTGAAGATTTCTGTGGGGATGGCTCATTATCCTAAGGCAATGCCTTTACAATGCAAACATTATTGGTAACACCACTGATATCTCTCAACAGGAACAAAGGTGATGAGCAGAAATGACCTTTTTTTAAAACATTCTGGAAGAAGGGAAGAAGTCAGGCTTGTGGGCAAAGTGAAAACAAAAGGACAAACCAGGAAAAAAAGAAAAATGCAGAACATTAATTTCTTTCCCTAGAAATTTTCTGGCCAGGAAGGAGGAGTGATCAAGTGCTTTTTTACTGTTTAATCTGTATACTTACAAATAAGTGCAGTTACTGCAAAACGCCATGAAATCTCCTGTGATCTACCCATGACTTTTTGAAAAATGGCTAAGCCAGCCAGCAGCTGCAAATTCCTATCAATTGTTGCTTTCCCAAGAGTATGTATATATTTTTTTCCTCTTCCACAGGCCTTTAGAAATTTCAGCCAAGAAACCGGTCTCCTTTCTGCGACAAGTGGTACCTGTTAAAAAGAAGGTGAGCATTCTCGTTTCTGTGAAAATAAATGCATAGGTAGAACCAGCAAAGAGAATATTGAAGGAGTAAGACATGGGTAACCTCTTGTGAGGAATAAATATCATAGATTTTGTGTGACATCTGAGAAATATTTTTGCTGAGGTGGGCAAAGTTCTTGGCAGTCTGAATGAAATGGTGTGGATTCAGTTAGTCTTGATTACAAAGCACGAGTATCCTAGGAAAAAAAAATAAAGCATTGCTTTTTTTCATTACTTCAATATTAGTGTTTGCTACCTTTTCATCCTCCAGGTACCTCGAGACCCACGTTTTGATGACCTCTCTGGGGAATATAAACCAGAAGTGTTCGAAAAGACCTATTCGTTTTTGAATGACATCAGGAAAAAGGAGAAAGAGGTAATGTTTCAAATAGGTGTTTTGGAATATCTTTCTGCCTCTTTAAAGTGTGTAATAGATTTAATGGTTTTTATATGTATTTTTATTATGTTCTGTTAAATGTTTTTGATGGTATTTATTAATGTTGTGGCATCAAACTGTGGTCAATTGTAAGCCATTCTGAGTTGTCTTCAGGCTGAGAAAGGCGGGATAGAAATACTATAAATAAATACATAAATAATAAATAATAAGGGCTGCTGAGAGTTTTCCAGGCTGTCTGGCCATGGTCCAGAAGCATTCTCTCCTGACTTTTCACCCACACCTATAGCAGGCATCCTCAGAGGTTGAGGGGTCTGTTGGAAACTAGGCAAGTGGGGTTTATATATCTGTGGAATGTCCAGGGTGAAAGAAATAACTCTTGTCTGGTGGTAGGCAGATTTTGTTCATTTTCATGGTTTCCTCCTTTCTCCACAATTTAAAGCACGTGGACAATTTCAACAGAAAGGAGGAAATGATGAAAATGAACAAAATCTGGCTACTGGTATTAAAAATCTCTAAAATCAGCGCACTAAATAAAGAGGAACACTCAAAAAGCAGGGGAATTCCAGGCAATAATCAATCTGGGCCAGTTAACACCTCCCAACAAAGAATTCCCCCAGGCAGCAACCAGCCAGGCTTTGAAGCTGCAAGGCCATTCAGTGCTAATCAAGGTGGCCATTTGCAACATTCACACTTGCCTCAAACAGATAAGAGTTCTTTCCTCCCATTCTGCAGATATATATACCCCACTTCCCTAGTTTCCAACAGACCCCTCAACCTCTGAGGATGCCTGCCATGGATGTGAGTGAAATGTCAGGAGAGAATGCTTCTGGAACATGACCATATAGCTTGGAAAACTGACAGCAACCCAGCGATTCCAGTCATGAAAGCCTTTGACAACACATTGTATAAGAACTTTTCAAGTTGACTACCCAACAAATAAAAGCAAAAAACAGTGTAAAGATTTAAAAATTAAGAACACATTAAAATACTTTTTAATTTTTTAAGAAAAACAGTTACAACAATCCTAAAAGGTAATTAAAAACAATTTTAAAAGAGCTGTTTCAAATATCAAAATCCATATGAAACAGCACTGTTTTGGCCGTCAATTAAACATTCGGAATAGACAGGGCCAGCCTAATTCCCCTTGATGGGGAGTTCCACCAATGGGATGTTACTACTGAGAAAGCCCAGCTACATGTTCTTTTCGGCCTAACTTTATGGGGTGTTTGGATATAGCTTCCTAAAATGGGCCTTACCTCTTGCTCAGTCAGATCAATCTTTTCTCTGCCATCACTCTGGTCATCCCCCAAGCTCTTCATTGACCTGAACTCCTCAGAAAACCACAGTGTCAGAGTTCTGAAAGCTGAATTTGTGCTTTTCTGTATCTTCTCCCTATAGATAGTTCAGAAGCAACTGAAGAAAAGTAAAAATGAGGATCAGAAAACCAAATTGCAGCAGCTCCTTAAACGAATGGTGAGTTGGTGTTGCAGTAAGTCAGTGTTTCTCAACCTGGGAGTCGGGACCACTGGGGGGTCATGAAGGGGTGTCAGAGGAGTCGCCAAAGACCATTGGAAAACACAGTATTTTTGTTGGTCATGGGGGCTCTGTGTGGGAAGTTTGGACCAATTCTATCCTTGGTGGGGTTCAGAATGCTCTTTGATTATAGGTGAACTATAAATCCCAGCAACTATAACTTCCAAATGTTAACATCTGTTTTCCCCAAATTCCACCAGTGGTCACATCTGGGCATATTGAGTATTTGTGCCAAGTTTGGTACACATCTATCATTGTTTGAGTCCACAGTGCTCCAAAACACAAGGTCAGTGCCCACCAAACCCTTCCAGTATTTTCTGTTCGTCATGGGAGATCTGTGTGCCAAGATTTCTTTGTTGGTGGAGTTCAAAATGCTTTTTGATTGTAGGTTAATAATAAATTCCAGCAACTGCAATTCCCAAATGACATAATCAGTCTCCCCCCAACCCCACCTACTAGGCCAGCGTTTCTCAACCTGAGCGTCAGGACCCCTTGGGGGGAGGGGATCACATAGGGGTGTCAGAGGGGTCACCAAAGACCATAAGAAAACACAGTGTTTTCTGTTGTCATGGAGGTTCTGTGTGGGAAGTTTGGCCCAATTCTATCCTTGGTGGGGTTCAGAATGCTTTTTGATTATAGGTGAACTATAAATTCCAACAACTACAACTCCCAAATGTCAAGATCTATTTTCCCCAAATTCCACCAGTGTTCACATTTGGGCATGTTGAGGATTCATGCCGAGTTTGGTCCAGATCCATCATTGTTTGAGTCCACAGGGCTCTCTGGATGTAGGTGAACTACATCTTCCAAACTCAAGTGCTCATAAAAGCTTTCCAGTATTTTCTGATGGTTATGGGAGTTGTGTGTGCCAAGTTTGGTTCAATCCCATTGTTGGTGGAGTTCAGAATGCTCTTTGATTGTAGGCGAACTAAAAATCCCAGCAACTACAACTCAAATATTTGTGTCAAATTTGGTCCAGGGAATGACAATACATCCTGCATATCAGATGTTTACATTGCAATTCATAACAGTAACAAAATTACAGTTATCAAGAAGCAATGAAAATAATTTGATGGTTGGGGGTCACCACAACATTAGGAACTTTATTAAGGGGTCGCAGCATTAGGAAGCTTGAGAACCACTGTACTGGGCATATTGGGCATTATGGGGTATTTGTGCCAAATTTGGTCCAGTGAATGAAAATACATCCTGCATATCAGATATTTACATTGCAATTCATAACAGTAACAAAATTACAGTTATCAAGTAGCAATGAAAATCATTTGATGGTTGGGGGTCACCACAACATGAGAAACTGTATTAAGAGGTCGCGGCATTAGGAAGATGTAGAAACAAGCTCCTTAGAAGGGTTGTTTCTCCTTCTAAGGTATGGGAGAGAGACCGAGCAAAGTTTGGAATGGTCATGGAAGAGAAAACCACAGCAAAGCCCATGAAAATTGGGAGAGAGGGGAAGTCATGATGCTGGTTTTCCCTGAGATATTTGCCTCTCTCCCATCTTTGCTTTTTAGACACAGCAGGAAGTTGCACAGAGGAAACAGCAAAAGGAGAGAGAGCGAGACCTTGCCTTCAAGAAGAAGCAGCGGGAGCTGGCCCAGCAAGGGAAGAAGCCCTTCTATCTAAAGAAATGTACGTTTTGACCATGTGCTGCTTGGGCGCATTATTCATGCAGTGTTCATTTGTGTAATTGAATAGAGGAACTGTTCTTATTGTCTATAGACTGATTGACAACAATGCTTGGAATATTAATCCCCCAGCAGGCAAACATTGCTTCTTAGACTAAAACGAGGCTGATGATATTATAAGTCATCATAGTGCTTTGTTAAGAAACTTTTTCTACCATAAAAATAATGTGGTAGACATCATATCATGACTTGTTGAAGGCTTTCAAATACTGTAAGTAAGTAAATAAATAAATATTTTTTTTCATGGCTGGAATCACTGGGTTGTTGTAGGTATTTTCGGGCTATATGGCCATGTCCTCTACAACATGGCCATATAGCCTGAAAAAACCTACAACAACCCATAATATCATGAGTTTCTGTGAGTTTTCTGGGCTGTGTGGCCATGTTCCAGAAGCATTCTCTCCTGAAGTTTTCACCCACATCTATGGCAGGCATCTTCAGAGATTGTGAGGTTTGTTGGAAACGAGGCAAGTGGAATGTCCAGGGTGGGAGAGAGAACTTTTGTCTGTTCCTGGCAAGTGTCAATGCTGCAATTGATCACTTCAATTAGCATTGAATAGCCTTGCAGCTTCAATGCTTGGCTGCTTCCTGCCTGGAGGAATTCTTTGTTGGGAGGTGATTAGCTGGCCTGATTGTTTCTTGTCTAATCACCTCCCAACAATCAAGGCCAGCTAATCTCCTACCAACAAAGGATTCCCCCCAGGCAGGAAGCAGCCAAGCCTTAAAGCTGCAAGGCCATTCAGTGCTAATCAAGGTGATCAGTTGCAACATTCACACTTCCCTCAGGCAGACAAGAGTTCTTTCTTCCACCCTGGACATTCCACAGATATATAAATCCCACTTGCCTTGTTTCCAACAAACCTCACAACCTCTGAGGATGGTTGCCATAGATGTGGGTGAAACGTCAGGAGAGAATGCTTCAGGTACATGTCCATCCAGCCCAAAAAACTCACAAGAACCCAGTGATTCTGGCCATGAAAGCCTTCAACCATACATAATATCATGACTTAGTGAATTTATTTATTTATTTATCATGTCAGGAGCAACCGGACATTTGTATTACATTTTTAACAAAACAAACAAACAGACAAAACACAAAGTTTGCAAGCTTGGTAGTTGATTAAATGTCCTTTGACCAGTATCTGGCCACTTGGAGTGCCTCTGGGTGTTGCTGCAAGGAGGTCCTCCATTGTGCATGTGGCAGGGCTCAGGTGGCATTGCACCAGGTGGTCAGTGGTTTGCTCTTAGTGAATTAAGACCACTTCTTCTTTTGTGTTTTGCAGCTGATAAGCAGAAGTGGGAACTGGCTGAGAAATACAAAGAGCTGAAGAAGAGCGGAAAACTGGAGAATTTCTTGAGCAAGAAGAGGAAAAGGAATGCTGCTAAGGACAAAAGGAAGCTCCCTTTTAGGAAGACTCTCTAATATCTGGCTGCAGGAGAAAATTCTGCCTCTGTCAATTGTGCGGGCAGCACTCTGATGGACACCGATCTCTCAGTCAGCTATTGACTTAATAAGCTCCTCGCACGACTCCATCCTGTGGTCTAGATCTCTCTGCCACCAGGCTGAACTGGACTGCTGGCAGTTGTCCTAGAAACTGTGTACAAGGATTCTAATTGCAGAATCTCATTAATTGGCAGTTTTCCTTTTGAGAGCGCTCCTTGGGTCATTAATTGATAATACGTCTTGTAACATCATTTTGCTAGAGTAAAGTGGTTATTTTTCCGAAAAGCAAATTTCTTCTTTCATCTGTTGATACAAAACAGAAAAGTAAATGGAAACCTCATGATTATACTCACAAGACTGCTATTTTAATTAATTCACAGACATTCCCCACTGTTTCCTCACAGTGTTTGTTCCCCTCTGTCTTTCAGCACGGATTCATTTCTTTAGTTAGCTCTTGCCAGCATGGCTTCTGTCCAGATAAGCAGATGACTTTCAGGTACGTATGTTGTGTTCCAAATCTTTGTAACCCCTTTGTACTTGCCTTTTTCATTGCCTTGTGATCTCACTCATTATTTAGTGCTGTATATCTTTGCCTAGTGGAAAAATATTGCTTTTTTCCTTTTTCCTTTGGATAGATTGGAAAATTTGCTGATGCCAAATTAGGACAAGAGTTCTAGTTTTGGCCTTTTGCATAGGTGTCGGCAACTTATAAATTACTAGCTGCATGTAGCTGCCTTTATAAGAAATCAGACAGATTTATTTTACATAATTTATTATACTAAATCTGGGAGTGTGAAAAGTAAGTTATACTGGGTATCGAAATCCTGTCATCTGAAATTTAGAGGCACCAAGTTGGAAAAGACTATCCTGGGCTAATATGCTCCTTAGCAACTCCATGTGAGTTACCACAAGCTAAAGTGCCACTTATGTTTGGCTGTACAGCAGGCATTAATTAGGCAATCCCTCGTAGCCCGAGGATGATGGTTCTCCAAGTGTAGTGTCTTGGCGGTGGGTCTGTAGGTGGCTGTGGAGCCGCATGTTCTCCCGCAGTGAGGACATTGGTTTCCAGGTGGAAGGCAGTTACAATCAGGGTTGGCTTGATGCGCCTTCCTCTTGGCATGATGTTTGCTTTTGCCCTCCATTCATGCCTCCTCAAATTCTGCAGCGCTGCTGGTCACAGCTAACCTCCAGTTAGAACGCTCAAGGGCCAGTGCTTCCCAGTTCTCCGTGTCTATGCCACAGTTTTTAAGGTTAGCTTGAAGCCCATCTTTAAATCTCTTTTCCTGTCCACCAACATTACATTTCCCATTCTTGAGTTGGGAGTGTCGTAACTGCTTTGGGAGACTGATCGGGCATTCAGACAATGTGGCCAGTCCAGCAGAGTTGATGGCATAGCAGCATTGCTTCTATGCTGGTGGTCTTTGCTTCTTCCGCCTGTCTTCCCAAGAGATTTGCATGATTTTTCGGAGGCGATGCTGATGGAATCGTTCCAGGAGTTGAGTGTGATGTCTGTAGACAGTCCACGTTTCACAGGTGTATGGCATGGTTGGGAGGACAATAGCTTTATAAGCAATCACCTTGGCTCCCCTACGGATGTCCCAGTCCTCAAACACTCTACTTCATTCAGAAAAATGCTGCACTCGCCAAGCTCAGGCGGTGTTGTATTTCAGTGTCAGTGTTGACTTTTGTGGCTGCCAAGGTAGCGGAAATGCTCAACATTTTCTAATGTTAACACTATTAAGCTGCATTTCTGGCATTGCAGAGGGATTGGCTGGTGAGCACTTTGGTTTTCTTGACGTTCAATGAGAGGCTGAGGTTTTGTATGCTTCTGCAAAGATGTTTAGTGAGTCTTGTAGGTCTTCTTCTGAATGTGCACAAACTACATTATCATCAGCATATTGGAGTTCTATAACAGATGTTGTTGTGACCTTGGTTTTGGATTTCAGTCTGCTGAGGTTAAACAGCTTGCCATCTGTCCGATAGATGATTTCCACTTGGTGGGAAGCTTCCATCAACAAGATGAAGTATCATAGCGATGAAGATGGAAAATAAGGTTGGTGTTTGCTGTAGAGGAAAAAGCACCGAAATAGTGTTTTTGGTTTCCAAAGATAGTGGTCTGAACATTTCCTAACAAGGAAAGCCGAGGTGTTTCTGTCTCTCCCCACCATAACATTTCCCTCCTGAATATATTTATAGAATTAATGAGAAATTTTATTTAGTGGGCTGAGTGCATTGAAGTATCGTTGGCTGCCTTGGAATGTACTCATGGAAATGAATGACCCAAATACAGAGGAAAAAACCTCTTTTCTCAAATTAGTGGAAATCATAAAAGATTAAAACAGCGATTGGGAATCATAAAAAGCAACGAGAAGTAACCATCCCTGTGCCTGGGGGCGGAAAGGAGGGTGAGAAGAGATGAACGCCCTGTACAGCTATCTTACATGGACAAGGGCAGTAATGGGGAATTAAATGCAGGGATGCATGCTTTACTCCATTCTCATCAGACTGCCTTATTTTGTTTTATTTTTGCCCGGCCTGGTTTTTCAAGTTGACAGTGCCTCTTGAACTGGTGCCAGTTCAGTATCTTAGGGCTGATCTCCCAGATTAAATTGGATCTCTGACCACCAGGGAGTCACCAAGGGGGAAAAATGAGCCCCTTCCCCTTGTTGTTGTTCATTCGTTCAGTCGTTTCCGACTCTTCGTGACTTCATGGACCAGCCCACGCCAGAACTCCCTGTCAGCCGTCACCACCCCCAGCTCCTTCAAGGTCAATTCAGTCACTTCAAGGATCCCATCCATCCATCCATCCATCCATCCATCCATCCATCCTGCCCTTGGTTGGCCCCTCTTCCTTTTTCCTTCTATTTTCCCCAGTATAATTGTCTTCTCTAAGTTTTCCTGTCTCTTCATGATGTGGCCAAAGTACTTTATCTTGGCCTCTGCTATTCTTCTTCCCTCCAATTAGCAGTCAGGCTTTATTTCGTGAAGTATGGACTAGTTGGATCTTCTCGCTGTCCAAGGCACTCTCAGCACTTTCCTCCAACATCACAGTTCAAAGCATCTATCTTCCTTCGCTCAGCCTTCCCTATGGTCTCACATCCGTAGGTGACTATGGGGAATACCATTGCTTTAACTATGCGGATCTTTGTTGCCAGTGTGATGTCTCTACTCTTCACTATTTTATCAAGATTGGTCATTGCTCTCCTCCCAAGAAGTAAGCTTCTCCTGATTTCCTGGCTGCGGTCTGCATCTGCAGTAATCTTTGCACCTAGAAATACAAAGTCTGTCACGTTTTCTCGCTCTATTTCCCAGTTGTCAGTCATTCCTGTTGCCATAATCTTGGTTTTTTTATGTTTAACTGAAACCCAGCTTTTGCGCTTTCTTCTTTCACCTTGATTAGAAGGCGCCTCAGCTCCTCCTCGCTTTTGGCCATCAAAGTGGTGTCATCTGCATATCTAAGGTTGTTAATGCTTCTTCCAGCAATTTTTACCCCAGCCTTGCATTCGTCAAGCCCCGCACATCACATGATGTGTTCTGCATACAAGTTGAGTAGGTTGGGGGAGAGTATACAACCATGCCGTACGCCTTGCCCTATCTTGAACCAGTCGGTTGTTCCATGGTCAGTTCTTACTGTTGCTACTTGGTCCTTATACAGATTCCTCAGGAGAGAGGTAGGGCGATTTCCCCTAGTTATTTGTAAAAGTATTTCTTCAAGCATATCCTTCTGCAAATGACATCCAGTTCTTCAGCATTTTCAAACCATACCTCAACATGTTGTTGAAGGCTTTCATGGCCGAAATCATTGGGTTGCTGTGAATTTTCTGAGTTGTATGGTTATGTTCCAGAAACATTCTCTCCATACCTCAATACTTCTAGTTTGCTGCTTCTAGTTCTCCTGCAGCTCTCTAATGATAACTTGAACTTTACTGGGATTTGAAGAGCTTTACAGGTGGAGCAAGTTTTTTCCTGTTATTTTTCCAATGAGATAAGCCTCCCAATTTCTCTCAAAGGTCAGTGCCACACTCATCATCCCAACTACAGAGCTCATCATCCTCTCCCTTCTTCCAATTCAAGTGAAAAGGGGTGGCTCTTGGGAAAATTTAACCATTGAGGTGCAGAATCCAGAGCAATACACATGTATTTGCATGGAGATGAAGCTATAACCATTAGGTTATATACTAACCAGTGTAACTTACATTGATGTTTTCTACCTGTTGCGACATCTGACATTATCTGCTTGCTTCTTGTTTCCATCCTGTCAACAAGCCTGTTAGCTACATACAAGATAGAGTCATGAATCTATCATGATCATCAAGTTTGCAGATGACACCAAATTGGGAGGGATAACCAATACCCTAGAAGACAGGAGCAGAATTCAAAACTATCTTAGCAGATGAGAGAGATGGGCCAAAACCAACAAAATGGAGTTCAACAGGGACAAATGCAAGATACTCCACTTAGGCAGAAAAAAAGGAAATGCAAAGATACAGAATGGGGAATGCCTGGTTTGACAGCAGTATATGTGAAAAAGATCTTGGGGTCCTCGTGGACAACAAGTTAAACATGAGCCAACAATGTATTGCAGCAGCTTAAAAAGCCAATGGGATTCTGGCCTGCATAAATAGGTATATAGTGTTGAGATCCAGGGAGGTTATGCGACCCCCTCCATTCGGCCTTGGTCAGACCTGGAATACTGTGTCCAATTCTAGGCACCACAATTTAAGGAAGATGTTGACAAGCTGGAATGTGTCCAGAGGTGGGCGGCTGAAATGATCAAGGGTTTGAAGAACAAGCCCTATGAGGAGCGGCATGTTTAGCCTTCAGAAGAGAAGGCTGAGAGGAATCATGATGAGGGCCATGGATCAAGATGTGAAGGAAAGCCATAGGTAAGAGAGAGCAGGCTTGTTTTCTTCTGCCCTGGAGATTAGGATGCAGAGCAATGGCTTCAAACTACAGGAAAGGAAATTCCACCTGAACATGAGGAAGAACTTCCTAACTCTGAGAGTTGTTCAACAGTGGAACACTCTGCCCTGGAGTGTGGTGGAGGCTCCTTCTTTGGAGGCTTTTAAACATAAGCTGGATGGCCATCTGTTGGGGGTGCTTTAAATACGATGTTTCTGCTTCTTGGCAGGGGGTTGGAATAGATGGCCCACGAGGTCACATCCACTTCTTTGATTCCATAAATGAATTAAGAGCTGGATTTCATGCTCACAGCAATTCAGGATAAAAATTCCCCTTGCCTCTGTTCTAAACATATACAGTAGCTATCCTGGCTGCATCTTAACATCAG